CTATAAATTGAGGTACTGAACAAGCAAGGCAGCCGCACACTGGTCCGATGATCAAAGAGCAAGAGACAAGAAAGGCAAGGCTCACCGAGCCATTTATCTCTCCACCCTTCAGTTAATCCTACTTGTGTTTATCGGCCAGGCTGGCACAATAAACTATCTCAGGGGGGTACTTCATCTCATGTACTTGGGAACTTTGGATGTTACCAGGAGAGACTAGTCCTTGGAAAGGGACCTCATGCTTGGTAGAGGCACAAAGAGGAAGTCTCTCAAGGAGATGGATTGGGACAGTGGCTGCAGCAATGGGCTCAAACACAACAGATGTGAGGATGGCGCAGGACTGGGCAGTGTTGTTTTGTTGTGCACAGGGTTGCCGAGTTGGTCCCAAATGGAGGGCACCTGACAACTGTGTCTTGTCCTGTGTGGTCTCTGAAGTCTCTCTTAGCTTGCATTCGTCTGCTGGTTGTCTTGCAGAGATTTACTCAAGTGCAAGGAGCACTGTCCTCTCACAGGAAGGAACAAAAGAACGAAACAAAAAATTTCCCATCTGTGCAGGTTGACTGTGCTGGTGTATGCATCGAACTACCTTAGCCTTCGGCTGCCGTTACACTGAGCCTACAGATCAGTCAGAGATGAAAATGTAGGCTTTTCTCAGGTCTTTTCTGAGCATGTGTTCTGCCTTGGATATGTGCATGGATTTCTGAATTCTTCTGTACACCTGCCTGCTCTTGAATCCCTAATTCCTCAAAGAAACGCTCCTCAGCTTTTCATCCCAGGCTTTCAGGGCTGTATTGTTTGACTCCATCTTAATCTTTTGTCTTATGTAGCATGCTAGTTCCTTTGCAATGCCTGTTTCCTGTCCTCAGTCACAGGAAACAAAGGTAAGTGCCTTAAGGGCGCCCTTACAGGTTAGCATAAGCCCACCCAATTCTTTGAGAGTGAGATTGGCTCTGTTTTTCTTGGAAATGGGGATCATGGTTCCTTCCTAGGATCTTGGGCTACCATTCCAAGACCACTGCTGAGCTAGTGAGGGGGATAAGGCAAGTACAAATAAAAAAGCTTCCTTCTATATCCAAGTTGCCTTTTTCTTGACTCAATATTCCTTTGGTTGCTGTAAATCTTTTGAGTATTTTTCAGAGTTCTGATAAAGGTGATTGACAGTTTTTCCTAGACTTTCTGATGTTTCTGTGAAGTCATGGTCCCTTGGAGCTATCTATTCTACCATGTTTTCACTGAAGTCAGTTTTTGGAAGATACTGTTTGAGATTTTATAATTAGAAAAAAATTTAAAATAAGGGTTAGAATTTGAGATATATTTATTTGTGTGGGATCCAGCCCACATCTGGATGGGTCCAAAGGGCCAGTTGTGCAATTGAAGGGAAGAAATGAAGAGACAGACAAAAGTGTTGGAGTGCTCACCTCCATGGTATCTAGAACCAGGTTTTATATATATATATATAAATTTTAATAAATATATATACTTTTAAGTTTTAAGGTAGCAGATGGACATTGGGCCTCTACTCAAGTCCTCCCTCAATGCAAGAACATTTTGTTCTAATAATCTGGCATTCTGTGATACTTATCTTCCCAAAACAATTGCTGAAGACAAAATGGGTACATAAGCAAATGTGGTGAAGAAAGCTGATGGTGACCAGCTAGTAAAAGATATAGCGTCTGGGGTCTGAAAGGCTTGAAGTTAAACAAGTGGTCATCTAGCTCGGAAGCAACAAACCCCACAGGGAAGAAAAACAGCAGCCTGTGTGATCACAAGGTATCGATGGGGTCAGGTACCAGGTATCAGAAGAGCCCAAACAAACAATTTATATCAAGGCAAACAAGGGGTGTTGGAGTGGAGACCCAAAGCCCATCTGTAGACAATTGGACATCCCCTTACAGAAGGGTGACAAGGAAGGGACAAGTCAGCCGGGGTGCAGTATGGCATCGATGAACCACACAACATTCTTCCAGTTCTTAAATGCTTCCTCTCCCCCAACCCCTCCCCACTATCATGACCTCAGTTCTACCTTACAAATCCAGCTAGACCAGAGCATACACACTTTTGATACATGGAATCCAGGCCAGATAATCCCTCAGGTACAGTAATGGGAGTAGTGATACCATGAGGGCAGAGGGAAGAGGGGGGAGGGCAGGGAGAGAAGGAAAAAAGGGGTAGTCAATCACAACGACTGACGTATTATCCCACCCCTCCACCCTGGGGGACAAACAACAGAAATGCGGGTGAAGGGAGACAGTGGATGGTGTAAGATATCAAAATAATAATATATAATTTATTAAGGGTGGGAGGAGGGAAAAATGAAGAGCTGACAGCAAGGGTTCAAGTAGAAAGAAAATGTTTTGAAAATGATAATGGCAATATATGGACAAGTGTGCTTGATACAACTGATGTATGGATTATTATAAGGGCCCCAATAAAATGATTAAAAAATAAAAAAAAACCAATATGTCCACATACACGCTCTTCCTGTTCCTCAGTTTCCCACACCTTAGACTGCATTATTTACTTAGCTGAAATATGATTCAATCTTACTGTATTTTAGTTTGTATCTGATATTTTTATTATCAAGGATCGTTTCTCAAGAATGTATACTCAGTATAGAAAGAGGCCAACATCTATAAAAATTTGCTTAAGTGCCAGGACTAGAGTAATATATTTATGATCTCAAGTTACATATTATACTTATCGATTTTGAAGATACAAAGAAAAATTATGATGTAACTGATAAAACTTGATTTTATAATCTTAGAAAATATTTCTTTCAGTGAATTGGGTTTGGAATGTGCTTTACTTATAATGTACTGTTGTAATAGCCTACCAAAGATGAATATGCCTGAGAAACTATAATCATCAGAAAGGAAAAAAGAGACTTCAAGGAAAAGGATGAAGAATCCGTTGTAAACAGTATAATATAGACGACAGCACTGAGTCAAAGAACAGCAGGGAAAAAGGATATTCATAAGCCAAGGCAGAAACATTTACTGCTACTTGAAAGCATGCCTATCGCCCATAGGAATCAGCCAAAAGAGAAGTATATTAAAAAATACTGCCATTTGACCAGATTTGACTTTTCAAAATTTCTTTACTGATAGACATTTTTACAACTAACTTTTTGGAGTAATTATTCTGGAGATATTTTAAAGGCCCATAAAAAAGCATTTTATAATGGTTCATGCCAAATATACAGTAATATATACTACAAAACATATACTGTTTTATGGATTGCATTTTTTCTTTGAATATCTATAATGTTCCAATTCTACTTTCACCATATTGTATAAAAATCATGTTGGACATACTTGTTTTGTGTTGCATTTGTCAATGTACGCTCAACAGTTAAAATGTGCTTCATGTCAAGTTGAGTCCATTCAGGATATAGAAGTAGCTGCGTAAAATCAACAAAAGAGCACGTTTTGCTGAAGCACTTGCTCATTTGGCTCTAAATTGTTTTCCCTAATAGGTACCAGACACCAAAACCAACACCAAAACAAACCCACTGCAAAGAATTGATTCTCACTCATGATAACCTAGATGTCAAAGTCGGCCTGGCTCCCTGCAGTTTCCAACACTGGATCTTTACAGGAGCAGCCAGGTTCTGCTTTCTCCTGCAAAGCGGCTGGAGGGTTTGAACTGCCAGTGCTGTGGTTAGTAGGCCGACAGTCAACTCACTACACCACCAGGGGGGCCTTTCCTAAAAGACAGCATCTATTTTTAAGGTATTAGGTTCCCCGATTCCTAGAGTATTTTCTTAAGCTGTCTTTGTAGTCCACCCAAACCAAACCAAAAACACCCAAGAAAGGAAAGAAACCTCCTTTAGTTATTATTACCGAAGAGGAGGGATCAGAAAACTTTTTCTGCAAAGGGCCAGATAGTATTTTAGGTTCCACACACTATAGAAGATCTGTTGGATCTACTCAACTTGGCTGTTTTAAGTGCAAATGAGCGATGGACAATAGTAAAGGAATGCATGTGATCCAGTTTGACCCATGGCCAGTTTGCCAATCCCTGTATTAGAGCACCAAAATCAAACCTGTTCATACAAAATATATAAGAAGACAAGTACTAACTTCAGGCCTTGGGAGGGGGAGAAAGAATTTCTATCTGTAAGTCACGTCTTTAAGAGTCCTGTAAGAGAAATGTAAGGTATTGCTTGAAACTTACTCAGTTTGCTTCTTTTACCCTGAGATATTTATTACGGGTAATTTCTAGTCAGACAGAGTAACAGACTTTGGAGCAACATTAACTAGATAGTAATGCTTATCTTCTAACATTTAAGCACCCTCGCTCCCAGAAATAATGCTTGAGTAATCCATACATGCCTTTAGCATATCTCCGCCATACTGAATGTTAAAGGGCAGTAAGTTCTCCCTGACAATGATTGCAGCAGTTGAAAGTTATATTTTCATATCTAGTGTAGGGATGAAAACGTCCAATGTTTTTCTTTGTAGCAAGTAAGGAAGCTGGTGAAGACTCCGAAAATGGGTTATCAGGTGAGTTCTCTGTACAGGCAACTGGATCCAAAATGCGTAGAATCTAAGGAAAAATAATAAGTAAAGTCAGGTGGATGTTTTAACATTACAGACTGTCAGAAGTGTGTGTTGCATTTGCAAATATGCACTGAAGAGGTACAATGTGCTTCCTGTCAGGTTGTATTCATTCAGGATACAGAACTCCTGCACAAAACCAACAAAAGAACATCTTTTGCTGAAGCACTTGCTAATTTGGTTCTAAAATATTTTATGTGAATGAATGAATAAGAGGGGTTCAAAGTTTGTGGAAAAATTCCATTATATTTTATTTCTATATCTTTATAGCCTTTTTGAACCTTTTTGTGTAAGGTTCTACCAATTTTACCTAAGTGATGTCAGTTTTTACCCTTAATCAAAAAGTACCCACTGCCTCCCTTCATCAATCTTTCAACAGCTTGTGATCAGGATTCTACCTGTATTCTATTGGAATCAATATTTACGTCTTTGATCACATTCTAATTTAAAACTAATGACATTTATTATCTAATTTAAAATTTTACCAGCATGATCCATGACACCAAAATGGAGGTGGTGGTATACAGGCAACAGCTAGGCTTGTCTAGTATTTACAAAGTATCAGAGCTGAAAGACATTGTTGAATTATACATCTACCAGGAGAACTACAATCATGAATGTGAGTAGGGCCTGTCAGTATGTCTAGATAATGGAAGAAGGGGAATCAAGCCCTGAGGATACCTAACAATGTTGTGCAAACAAACAGAATGGTAAGAGAAAAGCCAGGAGAGGAAGTAGGGTTATACAGATTAAGACAGCAGTTCTCAACTTGTGGGTCAT